GAGAAAGAGAAAAAGAGAGGAGAGAGAGAGGGGGGGAAGAGGACTGGCAGATCAAGGGCAGAAAGAGAGAGGGAGAGGGAGAGAGGGGGGAGAGAGAGACAGAGAGAGACCCTTTTGACATCTAAAATGAAGATAACACTGCATATATCCTTTTTTATCTTTATGATATGTGTGTGTGTGTAAGTAAAAAAGATAGTGGTAAAAAGGATATATGCAGTGTTATATTCATTTTAGATGTCAAAAGGGTTTTGCGGCTCCCAGTGTTTTGTTTTCGGTGGGAAACGCGTCCAAGTGGCTCTTTGAGTGTTTTGGGTTGCCTCCCCCTGATCTAGACTCATCCTTTTCTTCCTGTTTTCTTGTATGGACCAGGAGGGAGAAGAGCTTTCGCCAGAGCTCTCTCTTTTACCCATCTTCGTTCTAAAGTTCATTTAATATATAAATCACAGCTCTCCTTTTATAATACTATTTGTCCCCCACACAGGCAACTCAGTGAACCCGATGAAGCTGTTCTTTACTACTATAACATAAAACACACAAACCTGTTTTGTGATTAATTCATCATAAAGCAACTGCTCAACTTCATCCCACTTTCTCTGAAGAGCTTCAGGCAAGGTTGGGTACACTGTAGGGAAGAAATAATCTTACTTAGAGTTCTCTTTGTTAAATTCACAGAGGCAGAGGTTTACAACACAAGCACTTTTACTATTAGTTTGCTGCCATTAACTGGTGCTATCAGCCACATCCCTGCTGGCAGAGGGAACATGAATGAATGAAAACAAACGTCTTTGGGAGAAGAGGAATCTTATGCTCACTCAAGTAGACAAGAGTTATAACAATTCTTCCCACATGTTAATATATTCATTTGGCATGACACAATTATGGTATCCCTGGTCACATAAGGTATAAAACAAAACAGACTGTCTGAAAGCTTTACTTTTAACAGAATAACAGAGTTTGGCATGACAAGTACAGAAATGAAAAGTGTAGATCAGTTTCTCTGATATAGTGATATGCCAGTCATTTTGATAGCGGACCTCTAATAGTTTAATCTTTCCAGGACATTTTAGCAGCAGTGAACGCTCTTAATTCTTTGGTTTATAATTTTACCAATCTCCCAAAACTTCAGACCCCACCTCAAAAAACCATGGGGATATGACCACCATGAGTACAAATGTGTTCCCTTTCCCTCACAAACATTCCAACAATCAGGGGATGTTTTTTGTTCATGGATGCTCATTTACCAGAGTCAGTCTTGTCTAGTGGCTAAAGCACCAGGCCAGAGGCAGTGAGCTGCAGTCCGACCTTAGGGGTGAAAGCTGGCTGGGTGACCTTGGGCTAGTCACACTTTCTCAGCCCAACTAACCTCACAGGGTTGTTGTTGCGTGAAAAATAGGAGGAGGAAAGATTAGTAGGTAAGTTCACCACCTTGAGTTATTTATAAAAAATAATAAAGGTGGGTTTAAACAAATAAAAAAGGGGATCAGGCTAAAAACTATTCCTAGTCCTAGCTTGGGCACAAAATCAGCAGGACTGTGAGCTAATCACTTTCTCTCTGAAAGACTTAATAACATTGTATGTTTGCTTGAGCTTTTATTTCTACATTAAAAAGAAGAGATCTAAATTATAAATGAAGTAGCCAAGTATATTTTGAAGAAATTAATCAATTATCAACTTTAAATTAATAACTCTAAATCCTTTAATCTGTATAATTTCTGATTAGTCTTTGCTTTATAAAATATATTAGTCGATGTAGGGAATTTAAGATGGCTAAAAATAGAAACAAGAATAGAACAAGGAGGAGCTAAGGCTTTTAGTATTTTATCCAAACTTTAATATTAACACTCCAACAATGACTCTCATTGTCTTTAAAACTTTTAACAGTGTCTGATAGAAACAAGGAATGTTTAATATCCTAGTGGTATTCTTCTGGGGCCTTCATTTTAACCAACATTTTAGTTCCCACCTCTGCTAATAATGATATATTTCATAAGTGACAAGCCTTATAATAAAAAGATAAATTTAAAATTAAAACTAAGTCTGAGATGTTTTTAAATACAATTTTACAAAGCCTTGATTTTTTTTACACAAAGTATATTAGCAATTTTCCCATTGTCTAAGACCTAACAAAGTTAAATGAATTAGCAAAACTTCAAATAAAAACTGAGAGCATAATATAATGTTAGTGGCTGTGATTCTTCCAAGCCATACTTTGATAGAATATTGTGTCATTTCCTAATTTTCATTTTAATATATTTTATTTTATTACTAGGTAACCTTGGGCCAGTCACTCACTCTCAGCCTTAGGAAGAAGGCAATGGCAAGGTACTTCTGTAATCTTGCCAAGAAAACTACAGAGACTTCTCCATAGTGACTTGAAAGCACACACACACACAAAAAGAGTTTCAATGGTGAGTACAAATAACAAGGGAGGAAGTGGGCATTCCTGCATTATACCTCAAGTAATAGCAGCTGATTCAGAATTTCAGAGATTTGGATTGTGCAAAGGTTTTACCATATATTTGTGGGGTCCTTAGTGCTCTCTGAGCTTGGTTGTTTTTTTGCAGACATTTCATTACTAAACTAGGTAACATCTTCAGTGCAATCAATGCAAACAACCAAGCTCAGAGAGAACTAAACACCGCACAGTTCAATCCTACTCCAATATTCTCTTCTATTGGAACCATATATTTGTTCAGATCTTCAAAATATCTAAGATAAGAATTCTGAAGGGAATTTTAGTGCATCCACAATGTAGCAAATTGGATCAGTAATATACCTTTAATAAATCCTCCTGGTCAAACTATTAAAATATTTAGTCTTGCCAAACAAGCTATAAATTTTTTTAAATCTTGATTAAGCAAAGCTATAGGATAAGATTCTGTCAGGTTTTTTTTATTTCGTTTAAGAAACAAGCTGGCTCAGGAATTCTGGGAATTGAAGTCCACGAGTCATAAAAGAGCCAAGGTTGCCTACCCCTGGTCTAGAGTATGTCAATGATTCTAGAATTGATTCCCCCTTAAGAAAATTATAGTGATACCTTGATACTCAACTGCTTTGAAACTCATCAAATTTGGTACTCAACGCATTTTGACGTGAACATTCTGTCCTGATACTCATTATTTGTTTGATACTCAATGCACAAGCTAGAACTTTTCAGTGATGGCTACCTTGTGACTCACATTATTCCTTATGGGAAAGAATTGTTTGGTCCTCATTGCTTTTGGTACTCATCATGCCTCCTAGAATCAATTAATGATGAGTACCGAGGTACCATTGTAAACAGAATTTTATTTATTACATTTCTGTGCTGCCCATATTGCTGATACAGCGACTCTGCACAGCTTACAATGTAATAAAAAGTAAAAAAGTACTAAAAATAATTAAAATTACAAAAATTGAATAGAAAAGCTAAAAACCAAGGACCCCTCATTAAACACTGAACTATAAATATTCTCCTTTATTGGAATCAATTCTGAGCTTGCTATTATATAATTATTAAATTGTTTTCATTATTGTCACTAAAAACTTCTTTATTGTTTGGCATGGGTAATCATTATTGCCACTACTACCTTTATTAGTAAGCAGTAAATTATATATAAAGTATCTATTGGTCACCATCACCATCAGGGTTATTAGCACTTCACTGTCCAGGCATCTTTATTATGAGCACTCAGAAGAATCATTAATGCTCAACTAGTCTAGATTCTGGAAGAAATTCTCACCAATAAATAGCAAAATTGATTTGACTCAATTTAATTCTGCAGCTTAAACCTGTCCATGAAAAGAAAGAAAAAAACCCAAGTAAGAGCAACTCATTTTAGTGGGCAAAAGAAAGCCTCCCACTGGAAGCTCTAGAAGAGACCCAGAGGAGGAAGAGAACACTCTTGTGACCGTCCAAGCTTCCTGTGCTTTCAGCCCAGCAATACAGGGCAGCAGCCAGTTAGGGAATGTCACTGTTGACCTAAAGGGTCAAGGGACACCTAATCATGTCAAGGGACTGCTACTGCCAGATCCTTTAGAGGCCACATTAAAGCAGATTATAATCAATCTGGGGCCATTTTTGTTTTAGTTTTATTTTTCTAAGTGTATGCTTAGAAATAGTCTTTTATTTAGGAAATCCAGATAAAAGCATTCCTCACAAGGCCTGGTTTTCAGACCCTTGAAATGGGCTTTGATCAAGATAAATCAGCATCTTACAACAATTCTCACCCCTTCCTGGTGAAAAGGGGCAACTTTGAGTGCCAACAAAGTCTATAGATTTGCAAGTGTTACTGGGTTAGTTGCCATCAGTTTAGCAGGGCCAGCAGACTTGTTTGTTAGAAAACTGTAAATCAAAAAGCAAGGCTAATTTACATAAACCCTTAGTTCTTGGGACCACGACATAGTAAGAAACGTTTGGGAACAAAAAATAGTTTGATATAATGGACTTATTGAACATATACAATGTCAAAATTGGAATATAAATTGCATCATTTCAGTTTTCTGCTTTTAATCCAAAGAAGGAATTATTTTCTTACCTAAAAGAGAATGTGGGTGACAAACAAGTGGGGTTTCAAATGTAAGAGAATAAACGCAAGTGCTTGGTTCAGATACTTGAGCCAATCTATTGTTTTTTCCACATACAAGAAGTACCTGTAAAGTAGAGATTTGAGAACTTATAAACAGAATTCATAAACTTAATTAATTTCCCTAAATCACAGACCAGTAAACAGAAACCCAATTAATACAATCTGCTCAATGAATTTACAATATCTGACAGATAAAGAGAAACATTATATGTATTGTATCTAAGCTGTTGCAAACTATTGAGTGATAATATATTTACATTTTACATAAATAAAGTATATCTAAATAAATTATCAAAAATAATGATTATTGAAAGAGGAAGTGAAGTATTGAATTAGGAGCAAGCAGACTCAGAATCTAAGCCACTCTCAGCTGCAGAAGCTCATTGGGCAACTCTGGGCCAGTCCTCCATTTTCAGCTCACCCTCCCTCACAGGATTATTACTGCAGGAAAAAACAGCAGGTGATGACTCTAATATGCTGTTTAAACTCCTTATAAAAGGCAGGATACAAATCAAATAAATAATCTAGAATGGAAAGTTATATGTTGGCTTATTTGTCAAATTCTTTACCTTTGTTTCTCTATTTTTTGTTTCACAAGAATCTCCTTCTCTCATCCACATACCAACAAAAGTGTTGTTTTCAATTTCCCATTCATGCCATATTCTAGGAAATAAAAATAATATACTTCAGATATTTCAAAGAAGGCCACTGCATTTGCAATTTGATTTCAAGCTCGATTAAGGAACAGTCTGCTTAGGTCACCCTGATATCAGGGGATGAATCAGGATTAAGCCCTTGCTTATTCTTCTGGATCTCTTGGCAGCTTTTGATACTAAAACAATGGTATTATTTTAGCAGTGTTAAGGTTTACTTCCACTCAGAGGTTTATTTTAGAAAGGAATACTACTAAGAGCTAGTCTTTATATCTGCAAAATTAAAGAGTCTTGCAGTGTTTTATCTTATACTTGTACAAGAAACCGTAGCGTTAATCAGAAGCAAAGTGCACCAATATGCAGTTAACATTTAATGCTACTCAGTTTCATTTATATGAAGTCATACTGTAGAAATATTGAATTTAGGGATGTAAATCGTAATGGGCCATATTGACCTGTAATTTAGATTTGCTTGATTAACCTCCCCTTAGTTCAAGGAGTACAACATATCTTCTCATTGTTATCAAAATTAGCAATACACTTCACTGTGCAAAGTCCTTAAAATGGATACTGTGTTTCCCTGAAAATAAGACCCACCCCAAAAATAAGCCACAGCCTGATTTTTTGGGGTGGGCCTACCGCAAAAATAAGCCCAGGGGGGTGAGCATGCAGGGGCTGACAGTGTCCGGCAGCAGCCACAGCCCGCCGGCCCCTTGGTGCAGCGTAGGTAAGTCCAAGCACAGAGGCGGGGGGGGGGGGAAGGCAGCCGATCTGGGCACGACGCACACTCTTCTCCCAAAGGGAGACTGGAAATTTCATCTGCTTGTGAATGGGTCACTTATAAACCGAGCGATTTGCTCCGTCTCCAAGCTCTCCATGTGCAAGCAGATGAAGCTTCCACTCTCCGTCATTTCTCCATCCAGGTGAAAAGTGCTTGCGTGCCTATGGGGCGCTTGGGGCAGCTCCCCCACCTACCTCACCTCATGGTGGCGGTAGGGGCCACATAGCCTCCTGCCACGAGCGGCTGTAGAAGTGCGCTGGTGGCCATGCGGGCTCCTACTGGACTGGGCTGTTGGTGCCAACGCGAGGCAGGTGTCAGGGAAAAAATAAGACATCCCCTGAAAATAAGACCTACTGCCCCTTTTGGAGGCAAAAAAAATATACTGGGTCTTATTTTCGGGGAACAATTTTGACATAGATGGCCTCTTTGACCCCTTTCAAACCAGCAGTCCTCTTTCTGTCCAAAATGTGGACTCCTTGATTAGTTTCCATCCATTGCTCCTTGTCCTAACTTCAGGTGCTTTGGAGAATAGGTTGAAACCCCCACCCCCTTCCAAAAATGACAGACCTTTACTCTGAAGTGATACAACTTAATTCAGATATGCTTTAATTATATCAAATGGGCTCTGGATGCCTAAATGAGCAGTGAGTACATATTTGGTAATTTACAAGGTAACACATCAACTGGTAGCTTTAATTTCTCCTCTTTAGGTACCTGTACCTATATTAATTCTTAAGCGAAAAAAGATAACTGTTAGCTATTGACCAATCTCGTACATTCCCCTGAAACTATCACCACCTCTCAGCCTCTTTATAACATTAAGTATTCTTTTACAGGTAACAAACACACATGAAACTGTAGAACATGCTCAGAAAACGTAGAAATTAAGGTGTTATTCAGCATCATTTCCATACATATATCTATCTTGTCATTTAGCGTATCATATCATCATGAAAGTGGGAATTTTTAACCTTGGAGCACCACCCTAAAGGGACACCAGCAAAGAGAAAGGCCATTCTCTTACCCGAGAATTCCGTTGTAGGCATTCCATCGGAAAGTTTGCTCGTGTTGGGTGACATTATAAAATGGGCAGAACTCGTATTTATACCTAAAATTTCAAAACAAGACAGAGATTTATTTCCAGTTTTTAGAAGGCAGCAATTTTTAAAATGCGTGTCTAATTAAACGACTTACGTAGATTCCACGTAACCAAAGCATTTGCCCGCCAGCTTAAAAAGATGTTCAGGCCCTGGAAAAGGAAGGGTGGCAGAACCGGTCAGGGACTTGGCAAAACGGCGGGCTCTTCCTCTGAAATGACACTTCGGGGCTGGGAGAGGCTGCAGCCCCGGCCGCTCGCGCTGCCCGGCTCACCTGAGATCGGGGAGGGGCCGGCTTTGGGCTGAAGCCGGTTGGAGGGAGGCAGGAAGGGGTTGTTCAGCCTTCTCGGAGAAGGGAGGGGAGAAGGAGGGGAGACAGAAAGACAGGCCTTCAGAGCCAGGACCAAGCGCCGCCGCCGCCCTGCCCGAGCCCGCCAGGCCGAGAGCGGCTCTGCCCGCCGCCGCCGCCGCCTCACCCGAAGCTGTTGGGCTCCTCCACCACCTTCATCTTCCCGGCAGCCGCGACTCCTGGAGGGCGAGAGAGAGAGAGAGGGAGAGAGGGAGGGGGGCGTGCAGCCACGGCGGAGGCCCCGGGAGGGGCTCGGGGGAGGACGCGCATCGCATCACCTCACCTCCCGCCAGCAGAAGCAGCAGCGGGAGCCACCGCCGCCGCCCCTTCCTCACAGGGGCCCGAGCCGCCATCTTCCCGCCTCCGGAAGCAGCGCCGCGATCTCTTCCGGAGCCGCTCCCTGCGACTGGCGGCGGTGGGCGGGGCCCGTTGGCTCGACCCGGAAGCGGAAGAGTCGGAGAGTCCTCAGAGATGGGCCGCGGGCGGCGGCGGCGGCGGCCGAGGGGGCCGGGCGGGGAGCGAAGCCTGGAGACCTTCGCGGAGGCGCTGGGCGGTGAGGGCGCGGGGGGGGGGAAGCGGTGGGGGGCCGGGCGGGCTTCTTCCGCCCGCTGACGCGCCTCCTTTTTTCCGCAGGGCCCTTGCAGGAGCAGCAGGAGGAGGAGCAGGAGGAGCAGGAGGAGGGCGGCGGCGTCGAGGCGGGGGCGGCGGCCGAGAGCCCGCGCCGCTGGTGCCCGCTGGCCATGTGGGACCTGGGCCAATGCGACCGGCGGCGCTGCACCGGGCGGCGGCTGGCGCGGAAGGGGCTGGTGCGGAGGCTGCGGCTGGGGCAGCGCTTCGGGGGCCTCGTGCTCAGCCCCGCCGCCGCGCGCTTCCTCTCGCCCGCTGACAGGTGGGAAGGGGGCCCGCGCGGCGCCAGCCTTCAGCCTCCCCCGCAGGGAGGAGCGGCTTTTAATCCGATTCGTTTGCCTGGGTCGGAAACGGCCGCTGGGCCGTCTCGCTCCTGCTCCCTCCCGGCCCTGCAGGCAGCCGGGCCTCCGCGTTGAGGTCCCGAAAGGGGTTTTTTCATGGTGGACATGTGTTTATCCCAAGCATACTTAAACTCAGTTATCGATGATTGATGCTCTACATCTGCTGGAAGTTGGTCCCAAGTTTCCACTCTTCTTTCTGTGAAGCAATGCTTCCTAACATTACTTTTGAACACCCCCCCTACAAGTCAGTTTGAGGTTATGCCCCCGTGTTCTTGATTTTTGCTTAATGTTGAAAATACTGGAACATGCTAGAACGTTATTCACCCCTTCCATATATTTCCAGGTATCCATCATGTCCCTTCTGTCCTCCAGACTGTACATACTCAGTTCCTCCAATCTCCTGATGCGTCTTGTCCCTTGGAGCTTGCACTGCTTTTGTTGCCCATCTGCTTTTTCCTGCTGATGATCCTTCTAGTGATGCATCCCAGAATTTTGTTTGCCTTCACAGATGCATGGCTACACCCATTACCAATTTTGCACTCATGTCTATGAGCACACCTAAACCTTTTTCTTCAGTATTATACTCTGCCGGAGGATACTTTTTCCCTAAGGGCATGATCTTACACTTAGAAGCATTCAGTTGCAGTTTCCACATTTTGACCAATTTTCCAGCAATGCCAAATGGTTTTCCATGTTACACATATTCCCAGAAATGTCAACTTTATTAAACACCTTTGTGTCATCAGCAAAAACACAAATGTTAGCTAGCAGTGGTTCTGTTATATCACTTACAAACACACTGAACAAAACAGAACCTAGGACTGAGCCTTGTGATATACCACTTGTGACTGGTCTCTGTTCAGACAGTGCCCCAATAACAATCACATCCCTCAGGATCTATCCCTGAGCTAACTTCCTATCTACTGAAACCCCTCCCAATGGTTACGTCCTGGGCTGTACAACTTATTTATGACCTCATTATATGGAACTGTATCAGATGCTTTGCTAAAATCCAGATAAGCTATATCCACAGCACCTTTATCCAAAACATTTATGATATAGTTAAAAAAATCAGATTAGTTTGACATGATCTGCTCTCAGATCATGCTGCTTTGAGTCCATCAAGTTGTGCGCTTTTAAATATTCATCCTTTTTTTTCAGGAGTGATTCCATTAACTTCATTACTCTAGATGTTAAGCTCACTGGCCTATAGTTTCCAGCTTTTCCCTAGCCCCTTCTTGTGCATGGGTATAATATTAATGTTCACCGTTCCTGGTGGGCTTCAGCTGTTAGAAGAGACTGGTTAAACAGATGGGTTAATGGTCCCAACGAGTAAACCTGGAAGTTCCCTCAGAAATCTGGGATGAATCCTATTATATTTGGCTTTATCAAGCTTTAAGGGGACAGGCTCCCTTGCCACCTCTGCCTCTAAAAACTCTGGAAAAGAACCTGTACTGCTAGGAATGGTATGAGCCTCCAATCTGTTTTTTGTGACTGCTGCATCTATTGCCATCTTACTGCTACATGTTCCTGAAAACTTTCTGAATTGCTTTTGTATATATACTGTATGTAGGTACAGAATCCAAACATTTGTGTTACTGATTTAAAAATACTTAAATTTTTGTATTGCTGCTTTCATGGAGTAACAACTATAGTGGTAGCTTTTCAACCCTTTTCCCCTTTTGTAGCCTGCAAAATTAATCTGATTTCCTGACAAGGCAGCAAACAGAAATGTCCCATATTAAAAGTGCAGGTGTATTTTCAGGGAAGTTGTGACCCAGAACGGAATTGCAGTGATTGACTGCTCTTGGGCAAAGCTGGACAAAACACCATTCAGCAAGATGAAGGGAAGTCATCTCCGGCTGCTACCCTACTTGATAGCTGCAAATCCAGTGAATTATGGACGGCCATGCAAACTTACTTGTGTGGAAGCTTTTGCTGCTACCCTCTGCATTGTAGGTGAGCTGCAATAAAAATATTGTTTGGATTCCTTATCTTACAGATTAGAAAAAGATTTATATATAAAAATATATACATACATTGCCTGTAGATGTTTGTCATGTTAGGGTGAAAAAAAGTTGCTCTGCTGAACATATTTTTTTTTATTTATTGCATTGACTTATTACTGATCCGGTCCACGATTCTGGGTAGTTTACAGATATAAAGTAGAAAGAAATATAATAAAATGCCATGATACATAGACTACCAAAGCACAATTCTTTATCCATGCATAAGATAAAATCTCAAATTCAAAAGCTTCATACTGTATATAAGATTCTTTTGGTAGCCTTGACTGAAAAGTATATTTCACCAATAAGATATGGAAATTACCTTTGAAATGTTTGATTGTTGCTGAAGTTATTTTCCTTATTTTAGGACACTCTGATCTAGCCACAATTCTTTTGCAAAAATTTAAATGGGGAAAAGTGTTTCTTGATCTGAACAAAGATCTCCTGGAGAAATATGCAGCATGTAGCTGTGAAGAGGAAGTGTTAAGGGTTGAGAATGAATTTCTGAACCAAGCCCAAGAAAAAGATGAAACAGGTAGGACATCCCAAGTTTTTTTTGCTGCTTTGAGAAAAAAGTAATTGAATTGGCAAATTAGTGACACTATTACCCAAATTTCAAAGTATTTGGATCAAGATAAAGGAAGGAAGAAATCACTTAATCATACACAGGGGATAAATGGTCCACATTATTTGGACATAATTTGCGCCTCGAATAAGACCTTTGTATTGATATATTCAATGATTTATTTTTTATTTTAATTTAATTATTTATTCTGGTTAACATTCCCAGAAATTTTGATGTAACGAGAAAAAGTGAGGAATCTTTTATCCATAATCCATAAGAGGCAGTCATAATGATGAACAAACGATGGGGATTTCTCAGTGGTATCAAGCAGCCATTATAAATGTCATTAATGCTGTATAACTACTTCCAAATACATGAAGGAGCCCTCCCCCCAAACCCCTTAAATGCCCTCACAAAATTTGATAAAATTATCCTACTAAAGGGATAGGGTTGATATTAAAGATCTAAGATATGTTAAACTTACAATCACAGGACTATATAACAAATTATATTGTTATATTTATCTCCCTAATGAAATCACTGATTACTGCAAAATATCATAAAAGTATACATTTCCAAATACCAACCCTTAATACTTGGAATAGTACTTTACCAATTTCTCAATTTAATTCTTGTAGCCCCCCGTTACCCCTCCCCCCCATGCCAATACATTTGTAATTCCTCGTAGATCTCTAGAGCATCTTTGGAGAAGTGTCCTGGGCCCTTCAGGGAAGGAAAAGTCATTTACATGGCAGTGGATTCCACCAGTTGGCAACCCATATGGTCAGGAGGTCCATTGTCAGTATTCCTGACAATTCCAAAAATTTCCCAATAACCCATTAAAAGTTTTTCCAAAGAATCCTCGGGAACGTAAGACTGTAAACACAATCCCTCAGTATCTGCAGGTATGGCCAGAACAGAATTATACACCAAAACTGAATTGAACTGATTATATTCAATTGAGTTGCTTCTGATCCCTAGCAACTTCATAGATTTTGTCTATGATGGTTTATCCCTAACCTGTTCTTTCAAGTCTCCCAACGGCACATTCATCACCACTGTGTTTGAGTCCATCTCTCTTGCTGCTCTTTTCTTCCATCTGGAAACAGCATGATTAGAGACTTTTTTAATGTGTCCAAAATAGGATAATTTGAACCTGGTCATTTATGCCTCGAGTAAGAACTCTGTGTTGATATAATCAATGATTTATTTTGCTATCCACAGTATTCTCAGGAGTTTTCTCCAACACCAAAGTTCAAAGGCTCCAATGTTTTTCCCATCCTGTTTCTTTAAAGTCCATCTTGGTCTATCCCACTCGCTCCAGCAGATGATACCTACTACATCCCATCTGCCAAACAATTTCAGCTGTCAGGATGCAGGAGAAGAGCCTATTTCTGCTCTGGCCCCCACCCTTTGGAACATTCTCTCCCCTGATGTGACATCCCCCCCCCACTTTCCGAAGAGCCTTAAAAGCTGGCTCTGCTGCTGGTCTGTTGCTGGCCCTATCACAGCAGGTCTCCTGTCAGCTCCGGCAGCCTTCCGACCGGAGCACTAATGTAGCTTCATGTTCTAGTCCTAGAGGTTCTTGTAAAAGTACGGAAGATCTTCTAAACACTCTTGGATATTGACACTGCACAGGATTCCATTATACTCCTTCCATCTTTATCTTTTTGGAGTAAGTTACTCACTGTCCATTGTCATCTTTTAGCACACCAGTCTGAGGTTGGAGCCTCCTGCTGAGATCTTTTGAAAGATTTTCCTTGTTTTCCATGTCCGTCTCCATCTTCAGTGTCTTTATAAATGTTGCGTCTTGTGTCTTCTAACAGCTCCCTGAAGCTCCTGAGTCCCTTTCAGAGATTTTTTTTTAACAAATTTTATTGGTTTTTTAGTTCTTAATACAAAGTGCTCAAGACACACCATGGTGTTGGGGCAATCAAAAATTCAAAAACAAAACATGTGAGTAGCTCAATCAATACATCAAATATTCCCTCTCTATTTCCCTTAAATAGCTTATATATTTAAAGTAATCTATCTCTAATTTAAATTTCTATTAATCCTAAACCTGTTTTAAAGCTTTATACAATTACAAAACCATAATCAAATTTAACTATAAATACACATATTATCAGTTAAAGTATCCCTTCCAAGTTTATCCTAGTTCTTTGACTTCATCATAAATCTTATTTATTCCTTCTTCCACTAATATCCATATTATCAAACAAAGCACACCATCTCACTAGAATCACATTCAATTATTCCATTATATAATAATTTTCATGTAAATAAACCTATTAATCCAAACTATACATTCTCACTTTATTTAATATATACATTCTAATAATCACCCATTTTTCTTATTTCTACACAAGAACTTAATCCTTAAATCAATCCATAGTTCTAAAATGCCTTAAATCCAATATATATAAATTTAGATTTCTCCTTTCAGTCTTATTCTAGGCTTTTTTTTTCTGCCAAGCAGGTTTCCACAGTAACGCTTCTCTTTCATCAGATAAGTCTCTCTTTGTTGCTTGTGAAGCCACTTGCAGCAGTAATAGGCTTCTTGTCCTCTGCGTTGGGCCTCCATTTCTCTTGTTCTTAAAGCCTCGCCGTTTTAAAGGTTCAAATCTCAATCTTTGCTTTTTCCCTTTCAGAGATTTTTGTTGTCTTTCCTGCCTTTGGCTTCTGTTCCCTTTTTGCCAATTTCCACAGTTTGTTTTAACATCCAGTTTGCTTTCTTCTTTTTCTTCATTTTTGGCAGTCTGTTTTCACATTCATCCTTAACAAGTTATCTAAGTTCATTCCATATTTTTTTCTGCTTCTCTATCAAAGCTCAGGTTTTCAAAGCAATTCCTGATGTTTTCTTTGAGGATGTGGGTGTTCAAGATTATATTGGGGAAACTGACTGGATTTCTTCTCCTTTAGCTTATTAATTTATTATTATTTATTTTATTAATTTAATTTATACCCCGCCCTTCTCCTCATGGGACTCAGGGCGGCTAACAGCCTCATAAAAACTACAATACAAATACAATAATTAAAAGCCGAATTAAAAGAAATATTTAAACAGGCCGATCATTAAAATTGTCCTTAAAAATCCCCTAAAAAACCCCGCTAAAATTCCCTAGGCCAGACCCGCTTGTTGGA